CACGACCCTGTGATGAGGAAGGCATGCAGAAACAACACTCACTTAACAAAATTCCTCTATTTTCTACAACAGAGGAGCAAAATATGTCAAGGACATTGGGTTGAACAACTTCAGTAGAAAAAATGGCTTTGTAATTTTTGTTTTGGGGTTTCTTTTGTTGCTGTGCAAAAATAAAGTAAGGATTCCGGTGGTTTAGGCTGAGAAACAGCTCTGTTGTTGAACACTGCAGTGTGAGAGGTACCAGCCTTGGGTCTGTGCATACAGCTAATGCCAGCTCAAAGGATCAACCTTTAAGCTGGCAGCATTTTGAGGCAATGGGAAAATCTGCTTTTAAGCATACCCAGTTTTCTCCTGTGCTGCCATTTAGTGACAAAGATGTTGTTGCTATTCTGCTTAGCTCAATGGAAATTTAAGAGAAAAATTACCAGCTGAAGTATGGTACTCTGCTTATGAAACACTTCCATAATATTTCGCACAATGGGACATATGCTAATTATAAAAGGAAATATTGATACTTCCTGTATGTTGTCACCCAGTAAGAGTATCATGATCATTATACCCAGATTAATAAAAGAACTGATCTGGACAAACCCTTGCAATAAGAGAACCAAAGATACTAAGTGCAAGGTGACTTTGCAACCAGTTTTTAAGTCATACAGAAATCCTAAAAGGTGACAGGAAAGTTGGACCACTTTGGAAAACATTCTTATATTCAGATCATTTAAATATAAGCTGTTGGTTGTTTTTGCTTTTAATGACATTTATACACTGCCAATTATAAATGCTTTACAGGAAAATTTCATGTGAGTCAGGGTTAGGGAAACTGGGCCAGAATCCCAGCTCTCAGAAATCAGTAATGCTCTACACACTGCTGGTTTTGGTGCCTGCCCCCTCTCCACTTGCACAGTGTTCAGTGATTATTTCCCTTTTGTGTCTTCAAGAGCAGAATGCTCCTGAATGCATTGTCCTTGTTTCTCTTCAGACATCTTTCACTTACATTGTGTTATTGTCAGAATGACACGGTCCCAGCCCTCAGCATCACCACAGGCACAAGCAGGCTCCACAAGAAACCCTTGCGCTGTGGTTCCAGCCCCTGAATCCCACACCTCAGTGAAAACATCAGGTTTTTACTGCTGCCATTTGCCTCTCCCTACCCTCTTCGTAATCACGTCCACTACAGAGATGCAGTGACTTTTCAGGGCCTCCAGTGAGCCTGCCTCTGCAGTTTGATCTTCTTTTCAGACCCAGGTGGGTCCGTAGCTGGAGCAGAAAGCCCTAGAAAGATAACAGGAGTACAAATCTAAACAAACTTCTGTACCTTGGCTCACCAGCTTCTTATCTTTTGGTTTTTCCTGCAGGCCAAGTGGAATATAGGCACGAAAAAAAGAGAGCTGGGAGGCTGTAGTGTATGGAACAGCTCTGCAGACCTGAAGGCTTCAAACAAAATGTCTCAGAGGGACGGATACAGGAGATGTTAAGATGCAAAGGGACTACTACATAAGAAAAGGTTGCTGGTTTTTTACACCCTAAAAGACATTAACTGGGACACCAGCTAAAGGAAGAGCCCTCACAAGAGTGTAGCACTTAAAAATATTAACCACCACTCCAGGGGCAAGGGTTGAATAGGCCACACTTTCTTCATATTCCATTGCGAAAAAAAAACTTCATGCATACACAGACATATCCAGCCTTTTTAAACTTGCCTGATGCCTTCTCTTCAGCAAAAATGAAGTGTCACAGTTTTTGTGGATGCTGAACATCCCATATTGTACTATGCTGTATAGCTGTGCAGAGCAGAACTAAGCAGAAAATGTCAAGTTCTTGTTTCATGATACCTCTGCCTTGTTTGCAAGGGAAAGAAATTTCCCTTTGAGAAGTGGGGATGGACTAACAAACCCCATAGATCCCTTCCAACCCAAATTATTCTGTGATTCTGTAAAATCAATATCTATTCTACAAAAGGGTACTTTTTGCTGGGTTGTTTAACTTTTCTATTGAGTGGTGTGATTTTTGTTACTGAGACAGTTAATTTGGTAAATGCTTTAGTGTATATACAATTATGCTGCTATAAGCACAGTTTATTCTGCTATAGCTTGCATACAGCTGGGCAAATTTTCTTCTTTGTTGAATATTTCTTTCTCCGCAATGTCAGCCCAAAGTCAGTCACATTGGGTCAAATTCACCCCAAAGGTCTGTTGGTTGCTCTGTAAACTCTTTATATTGACAAAACTAGGAGCAGGAGGTCAACATTCATCTGGCAGGGAGAGAAATCGGAAAGGATGGAGGTTTATCAATATCGCTTCACCCCTCAGAGCAATTCCTAACCTCTTCCTTATCAGATATACTGAAAGAAGGGTCCCCTTTAGATCTCCTCAGAAGCTCACTCACTCATCAGAACATACTTTATGTACTCCTTGATACACAGCATGAGAAAGACACCATCTCCTAACGGAGAAGGTGTTGCTTCCAGATTCTGGTGAATACTGAAGCAGGGCTATCAAAAAAGATCAGAATCAACAGAAAAGACAGACCAATTCACAGTAGATCACTGTATGACAGAGTGGTCAGTGTATTCTTACAGGATATGTGAGCTGAAACACTCACAGAAGGAAAAGCAGGACATTTGTCCTGAGTTTCCCACACTGTGGATGATTGTCTGTTCCCTCCATTGGCATAATTCTTTGATAGTTTTGTGACTGACTTCTCAGATTACCCATCTCCTGCTCTCAATCTCTTTTAAAACTTTGCTGAGAATAGAAAGGTGATGAAACAAACACTTTTTTTTTTTTTTTTTTTTTTAAAAAAAAAAAGCCTGAAGACTTTGAATCTTGTTTTGGACTTTTTATTCTTCAACTTTAAACATGGAACTCAGTAATTTATCCAGATGAAATTATATGTTTATACTGTTATGACAGCATCTACAGTAGCAATGTTGTATGACTGTCACTACTGAAATAAAGTGACTACATTTTGGAGAAAATTAACATTCAGGTCAAACAACTGCTTCAGGTTAGATACGATTTATTATATGCTACTGCCTTTACAAATCAGGACACCTGTTTTCTGGGGGAAGCATCAATAACAAAGATGTAAAAACCCTAACATACCCTTGCAAAACTCAGCTCCAGAGGTCATCCTCATTTCTCTTTTCTCACTACAGATGACATTTACTATGGAGAGGGTCAGAAGTAATTTCCATGAATGCTCTAAGCTGTAAAGGGATGTACATTGTCCCCTAGTGTAAAAGCATAGTTGCTTTAGGATTTATTGGCCAGCTACACAGGAAAAAGAGCGGAAGTTTAAAGAAATAAAGTTGGATTATGGAAAAAGAGAAAACAATTACTTTGTGAATGTTATTATCGGGAGCCTACAATTAAATACAGACAAAGAAGTGCTGAGAACAAAAAACAAGTGAAAAAAATTTTAAATATGTTTTTCTAAAGATTCAGAAATGGAGGGAGCAGAACAATGAAATACCAAGTTAAGTTACAGATGTAACAAAAACACAGGCTCTGATCAGAGTCTTAAACAGCTTCACATTTGCAATCAATTTCAGACTTAATGCTGCTGACATCTCGAGATTCCATCCACAAACACCTAAACAATATGTAACAACTTGTGCGATGGGGACAGATCTGCATGTGTACTTCTAGCCACTTTCGGTCGGTGGCAAGTAAAAATGGAAATTCAGTTTCAAACACAGCAAGAATTCAAAAGCACAGTTAAAGGTGGGGATTAGAATTCAAACCCGCACTCTCCAGTTCCACTGTGAAATTCCCAAACCAAACCAGTTCCCAGTTATTACCAGCTTCTCCCAGCTATTGCCCTATACACCACAACACTTTTACAGTCTCATAATCTCCACACATCATCCATTACGTTTTAGAGCAAACTCCACCCAGCTACATTGTGGGCCTGACTGACTTTATCCCAAAATCTCTTGGTTCACCTCTTCACCGCTTTGCAAACTTTGTCTGGCATGAATCAGACTCAAATACACCCATGGGACTGGGGATGCAACATAAAAATAGAGCCTACCTCTTCCAGCTGCACCAGGAAAGTGACATTGTGTCCTTGCTCAGCTGTCAGTTTGCCATCAGATGTGACTATGCGAAGGCCCTGGGGGGCTTTGCCAGGACATTGCTGTGGTTTTGCTGTGTACCGCTCTCTCACACCATCCGTGCAGTTATTAGAAACAACCTTCCGGTATCTGAAAAGGAAAAGAGAAATCTGTAGAAGATGCTGACAGAGAGCATAACAGAGTTAACTGGGAACAAGGAGGCATTTTTAAGGTTTCTTTAGACTAAGGAGACTGGAAGAAAACAGATTCCCAAATATATTTTAGCATTTTTCTCAGCAAGCATTCCTCATGTACCTAACACACAAATAGTTAATACTGTTGTTAATGGCTTGTTATATTTTCCTGCACAGCACACCTATATACCACATATTAATAAATTGCTTAAAACATAAAATTATATGATGACCTATGTTACACGTTAAATAACTATAAAGTTATAAATAAATGATATACAATACAGTATGGAATTGTATTCAATTATTGTACTGTTAGGCATAGTTTAACAGCTTTTCTCACACGCTCTCTACTTGCTCATCAGTTGTGAGACTACTCTCTCTAAAGATGCACCCCTCGAGAGCTACAAAAGTAGGAGAGTTGAAGGAAAAAGCAAATTCTGCCTACCTCTGAGTGTACAAAATGCCAAAACACAGCTTGGGTTCCCATGTTTGCTTTATCACTTGCATCAGAGATGAAGTCTGAGGTCAGTATCTTAACTTAAACTACATGTCCATTGACTTCTAAGAGGGTCAAAGAACAATGAGCTTTCGGGTTAGCTGCCCGTCTATTACTTCAGTTCACATATACATCAGTTTAATCTCTTTCCTCTGATTTGTTTTCCACTGTTTCTGCCTCACCCGATCCCATATGATTTTAAAAGGAGTCTTTTCAGACACTTTAATGATTTGGCCTTTGCTTTACAGTTTTCCCTCCAAGTTTCTTTAAGGCATCATTTGTCAGAGAAAGGTCTGGACCATACACGACGGAGATCTGGAGTACCAGACTGTGCACTCTAACAAAGTCAGCGAAGATGAGGTCCCAAGGGCTTCAGCCAGCTTTGAGACACCTATAGTAAATGCAATCTGTAGTTGTCATTGGGTTAAAGTCCTTATAGGTGCTCTAGCTAAATAAAGTCTGGTGTGCCACTTACCCGGTGCTGTTGAGATAACTCTGTCCGAGGCTACAGTCTTTTGACAAGGAAGATGGGTTATACCAAAATGCTGGTAGACACTGCCCATTGCTGTGGCGTTCGTATCCATAATCACTGTTTTAGCATTAAAAGAAACCATCGCATAAAAAAACCAAAAAAACAAATACAGGTATTAGCTCATGCTCTCTACTATTGATACAAGTCACGATTTTCCTCAATCTGTTTACTAGAATTTCTGGGTTTTTATTGATAGAACAGATTCTTCATCCCACTTTAGCTTTTTTTTTGGGGGGGTAGAGTTACATTGCATACATCCCAATATAAACAAGCTGACCAGACCGGGCAGTTTATGAGCTATTGCATTAAGCGTTCCCTGTGCACAGTCTAACAGTGTTTCTCGGGTTCAACTCTAAACTCAAACAAAATAAAAACTAGATATCTAAGCTAAGTTCAATCACTGATATCTTAGTAATTTTCTTCTTAGAAAACTGAAGTGCTAAACAGTTAATTGTATTTGGAAATTATATCACATGAGCTGTAGAGGAAAATTTACAGACCTAAGAGAGCTCTCAGCTAAGGCATTAACAGCTTATTTGGTAATGGAAAAGAAGGCTGCAATCTTCAATTCTATTTTCGTTTGGAAGAGGAAATGCTAGCAAAAATCATGTGGTAGAAACAATGAGTCAAACTGTAATCTTTTGTCCCAGTTTGGGTTTAGCTATGACTAAATTTACTTTGGTTCCACTAAACAACAGTTCAAATTGGTTTTGATTCCAGGTAAACAAAGACTGTATAAAATTTCTTATTGTGGAACAAATAAGCAAAAACCCTCTTTAATCAGTATTCCATTCACATGTAGTTTTACTCTCCAGCCATTGAGTAATGAGCACTGTTTGGTTGGAAAATCATTCTTGTTCCTTTTACTAAGCTTTCTCCATAGCCCATAACAGAGAAGTTAATGGCATGTCATTTCTGAGAACTACTACACAGAGTCCACCAACTCCATTCCAATGTTCCTGTTGTAACATGATCCTTGATCTTAAAATGGCACTTCTTTGCAAAGCAGTTTTTTTCCTTATTATCTTTAATGTCTTGGTATTAAGTAGCTTGATATTCTAAGAAAAGAGGATTAGGGCAGCATTAGAGTAGGTGATTAAAGACTTATCTCTGTATGTGTAAAGAAGCAGAGAGGAAAAACAGGAGGTGGAGGAACCCCGGTAATGTGATCGGAGCCAGTGAGGCCCCTGCCCCAGCTCCTCCCAGGGCTGTCACAGGACAGCCATCAGCCCATGGAGAGGGTAAGACCTACCAGATCATCAATGGGAGAGGCTTTCCCCAGATCACTTTGCCATTCACTGAGCGGCATTAATGCACACAGGGGTACAGGGCTCCTTGTGCCATGCCAGGGAAGAGCATCTGGATCTCCACTTCTATTTTTCTGGGTGAGGGGCTATCCGTTCTGGGTGTGTGGTGGTCTAAGTCTCAGCAACTGGACTCAGATGATGAGTCACAGGGGTCTGCGTGCCCGCACTGCCAGCAACTGGACTGACTGGAGTGTGTACATACTGTGCAGGTGAGCACCAAGCCAGACAAGCCAGTGAGCAGGATGTAAGACTTGGGAGCTAGGTGCAGATGTGGTCATAAGTCTGAGCTGGATACTAGGTCTGTGAATTCGTTATTGGAGAGACCGAGAGGTCTGGGGGAATGGCTACTGGTGTAAAGCCATATAGGTCTGGACCTGCTCATGAGGCCTTTTACATGTGTGTATGTCTTTGCATGAGGCAAGTGGGGATGTCCAGTTGTCAGCAACTGGGGAGACAAGGCATCCAGGGGCCAGGTACTGGACAGACCTGGGTGTCTAAGACAAGGTACTGGTGGATTAATAGGATCAATACTGTATGTATGGTTATAGTTCACATACTTTGCACAAATGGGGTTTCATCTTGATCAACTAGAGAGGGGAACAGGATGAGGCAACTGGTGTTTTTGTGAGTGCTACGTCTTCTGTTTGTGCTAATCTGTGTCACCAGACGTGTACATACACATAGATGTACTGTGCACATGTGCACATGTGTACCTGTAAGAAACAAATGCTTAACCTTGTTACTGCTTGGGTCAGGGGACATGGAGCTGCAGCAGCCTCACTTCTATCAGGCTACTGGATTTAGCATCTCCTAATAGACAGCAGTGCGATCAATGATATTTGTAGAATAATATTAACAATGAGAATATTCAACATTATGAAAACGTTTTTCAAATGTCTTTTTCTTTCTGGATCAAAGCACGATGGCTTAAAACAGAAATTTAATGAATCACTATTAAACAATTTTAAGAAGTCTGGTACTGATCTAAGACATGAGACAAAGAAGAAAAAGGAGAGAATATTTTGCAATTTGGTTTTGTTTAATTTCTTATACTTGTTACCAAAAATGGGACACTGAGAAGAATTTTGTCACCACTTTTTACTCCTGCCTGAACTTTTCCGTGTGAATCAAGAAAAAAAAATTGTTCGAGGTAAACTAAAAAAAGAGAAATTAAAAAGATGACATTAAACAAAAGAAAATTACAGCTGCATATCACTTGGGAAAACTCCTAAACATCTATTAGACTGCACGACTGTTCCAAAGGAACATTTTGGCAGCTGTGGCACTTGCGATATCTACAACAAGTAATTGAGAACATAGTCTAGGAAACAGCAATGGAGTAGATGACCTAAATAGTCTTTTCCTCCTTTTTTTGATTGAATTTTCATCAATCTATTTACTCAGATGCTAGTGGCTGAATGTTGCTTAATTGCTTTGGAAGCATCAGCCAGCCTATTCTCCCACTGCCATGTGCCTCTCTAATCATTCTTGTTGGAATAAGAACACTATAGCTCCAGAATACACTTTATAATGAAGAATAACACCATTCTGATTTGCTTAGAGAAAATAAATATTTACATACAAGTGAGACTCCTGTATTTTTGTAATTCATTTGTCAACAATCTGCAGCACTGTATTCCTAAGTTATCATGTGTCACTCTAATTAAAAAGCTGTAACACTGTATACACACAGTAATCTGTAATCAGTTAGGTGAAAACAAAACAAAATAATACAGTGAAATCTGCCTCAGAGGGGATCAGTACCCACAGTCCAATTTGATGCAGTAGTATCAGTCTGGGATTTCTTACTATACGTGTGTCTGGACTCATGCCATAATTTTGTTCCTATTAGTACCTGCACATCTGGACAAGCCAAGCTTGACTTGACTAGGTTTGACTATACTTGGATCATATTTCTCAAAGTCAAGAGAATGAAATCATAGGATTTTCCATAGCAGAAATAGTTCTAAGCACAGAAGTTTCACAGGGTTGTTTTCAGGCTTGCAAATTGTCTGGCTCATTAAGGCCCTACAGAAATATCATCCCAGTAAATGACATAAATTGCTGTTCCGTGTCTCTCTACAGATGCACCAGCCGCTCGTTCACCTCCACAGTCTTGGAATCTAATGAATTCCTTGGCTACAGGCTGGTGCACGCAGAACACTGATGCTGACAACAAATTGCTGCCTACAATTTGGCACAACAGGCTTTGTAGCAATCAACAAGTATTAGCATCAATTGGATTGCCATAGCACAAGCCAGTATAGCAAAGTCTGGAGACAGGGAAGGCATTAGCTTTAGACTGCAATCAGCTAGCCGAGTCATTGCCTGGTAACTGGGAATTGGAATTTGCATATATTGATATTTTGTGCCTGGCTGAAAGGAATTCAGGTGAAATAGATAATGTACCTATCAAAAAAGAATGGAGCATTTACCAGCAGGGATTGTTTTATCAGTATGAAACAGCCTATCTTGTGGCTCTCACTGATGATGGTTTTACCCTAGCCACTTTTACTGGTTTAAACTGGAATCTTGTTTGTCTTAGTCAAGTAGGATTGCAAGTCCTTCTCTGTAATTAGAGACAGGTATGAATTCATTCCAGAATTCTGCATCCCTGCTCAAAGCTCATGGTAAATTCCCTTATCTAAGATCATTTGCAACACAGGTAATAATCAAAGGAAAAGAAATCCCTTAAGGAATTTTGTAGTTTAAATACAGACCTGACAAACATACTGTCATGGAAGAACTGTAAATCCACAAAATTATTAAAATCCCACTGTTTTAAGACATAGAAAAAAAAAACAGTTAAGTCAGATGAGTGCTTGCCATGCTCATACCGTCTAAAAATCAAGAGATGACTTAACATGTAACCATAAGGCTTCTTAAAACTAACGGCTTCACTTTAAGGTCAACTATGCCACAAACTGAAAATGCTACTTTGCAAACTTTTCAGACATTAAATGGGGTAGAATCGAGGTATCTGTGATTACAGTCACCTTTGTTCTGCAGTTTCCAAAAGCCCTTGTGGAAAAAAATTACTGTGGCCACAGCCATGGAAAAGTCTTACCACCTTTTTATACTCTTAATACCATTGTCTAATATTGAACTATGATGCAAGTGTAGATTTGTGTTAAAGAGAAGCTGTGCTTGCTTCCCAGTTCTACAGAATCTGACATGGGATTTATCTCATAGAAGGATGGATTCAGACACAGTTTGAATTACGGATCTGTGAAGCCATATGATTATAATTGCATCACAGTATTTGGAATCAAGCTACAACTTATGTTAATAGGGAACCTACAATCCCCAGAATCTTTCCAGTAAATCCATGACTAGTAGATATCTAGGCCCCTAAAGACGCAGAGATGCGCTGTAGACATTGCATAGTGAATCTACGCTTCCCACAAGCATTCAAAATGAACTAAAATTTCATTCAAAATTACTATTCGTTAGCTAACCAAGCCAACTTCAATGATAAAGCAAAGTCGGTTGGCCTAAGGGTGCAAATGTATTTGTATTTCAGAACTGACGCCTGCATGATCATCTGAACTGATGAGTGGTAACACATGAAGCCAATAGAGTCTAATCACATTCAGTATCCGCCTTCTGCCTCCCCGCAGTTTGTCAGGACAGTTTCTCATGAAGCAGGGCTCTGATGTTTTAGCATAAGAACTGAACCTAGCAGGCAGGTCTGTAACTTAAGCGCCAGACAATTTTTTTATTAAAGCTAGCCAGATACTTGCTGATATCATCAGCAAAATAAATACACCTGATTCTCAATCGCACTAAGGCTCCTTTGTGCCTCTCTGGCTATCCAAAGTCACTAGCTTCAGTATCAACAGGCTCATACTTCCCATGAAGGTGTGAGATATGGGAATACTGACAGAAGAAGCTCTCAGTATTAACGACAGCGGGTTCAGAGGGAGGCCTGACAGTGACACACTTAACTCAAAGTTTCTATTAAAGGACCTGGGGGACAGGTAGTCGAACGGTGAACGCCACCAAAGATTTCCATCTGTGCTAGGAGGTGTTGCTACTGAAGAGATATTGCTGTAATAATGCTCAAACAGCAGGAAGGAACACAATGTAAGGAAAACGGATAAATTAATGCTTTAATAACACACAAGTAACGGTGTCATCCATTTACCCAAATCAATTAAATTAAGAAGGACATTCTCGTTTCTAGGCCGTTGCTAGGACAGGTTTGCCGAGGGCTTCTGAACAGTTCCATTCCCCCCTATTCCTGAAGCACTATTGCCCTCTGGCTGTGAGCCTCAGCCCCTGCATGGAGAACAAATACCTGCCGCTTCAGCCCTGTCCCCAGCTAGTTTTGGTTCTAGCCCATCATAAGAGATGTCTACTGTGAGAGGAGTTCACGTTCCCAAGGCTAGAGAAACTGCAGTCATTTCTAATGTCACTCAGTTTTGTTGCTGTGTAAAACAATAAACAAATGTGCCCTTTTCTCTGAGAAAGAATTACCATGGGCTGAATACAGATTTAAAATGAACCTGGAGTTCTATGATATTACCAGGAGAAAAAACATTATAAAATCTTTATGTCTTTTATACCTGGCATTTATTTCCCCTGAACTGATAAAAAAGCACTTTCAGCATTAACAGCAATAACACTCTTTTTTTTTCACTTTACCTGATCACATAGATACATTTTTTTACTCCATGCTCTGACAAGCCTAGATAATAACATTTTCCCCATACAAAGTCAGCATTTAAACAGCAAAGAAAGTCCTACTCTGACTGGGGCAGGGATCGTTGTCTTCTTTAATTCTGTATCAAGTCTGGGTCCTGTAACCATCGATGTTAATATAAAAAGCTGCCCTGTTTATTTCAAGATTGCAAAATAAAGTGCAGTCAAGTTAAGGGGTTTCTCCCTGCCTGGGGGATACATGTCCCCTTCAATTTCCTTCAATTAAGATCCCTGCCCAGCAAAAAAGAGAAATAGAGAATTCAAAAGTACTGCTGAAATGTCATGAGTGAGGATGAAGGGAAGGGCCTTTTGCAGGAAGGGACCCACAGAAGACGTCCTTCTGCAACAAGAATTCATTCACCAATTTTCCTTCAAATCCCTCTAAGGACCAACTTCTGCAGGGTGCATGAAGAAGCAGTGAAGCCTAGTGCAGGGTTCAACAAGACAGCCACTGAATGCTACGGAGCAGCAGCAGCTTTGCCTTTCTTAGCACAATAAAACTGGGCTGAGAAATCAGTAGAGCCAGCAGAATTGCTTTTTCCTTGCCATCTTTTTTTCTCCTTCCCTGATAAAGCTCTGTCATCTGTTCCCTGCGGCTTTACTGTCCTTCTCTGGCAAATCTATGTAAAACTATGCTCCTGACTGTATTAAGTAGATGATGAATATTGCTGGTAAATACTTCTGAACTGGATGCTTAAAGCAATGTTTCAGTCTTTTTTCCTCAGAGGTAGTGGGGAAAGAAGCTGAAATGGATAAAGTAAAAATCCAGATCTGAGGACTGTAGGAATAACAAGAGCTCAGACAGAATTGGAGGGGATCACGACATCAGAAGGAGCACAGAGACCACAGTATTTTTAAGGGTATTTTTCTCAGGCTACATTTAACAAGAATACTTTCGCAAAGTCCTAACTTCCCCAGATTTGAGGGGTCTTGTTGGTGCATGTGAACTGTAAGCATCTGTCGTACATCCCCAACCATCCAAGCTTTCTCTTAGAGATTCTCTCACAGGCCAGCAAGCCTTTTGCAGAAAGTTTCCTCAAAGTGAATGTAAAAGAACTAAAAGCACGTTTCCCTCAGCAAATGTCATTGTGGTACTTTTGTTCTGTGGCTAGCAATAAAGTTTTGTAGTAGAAAACCACACAATCAATTTTAATGAAATAAAGACATACATTCTCAGAGAGAGAGAAGTTCTGGAAGGAAAGCGTATTTTTATCAGAAGCGTTTCATGAGTGTGTCCCTTTGGAGTGTAAGGGGTTTAACCACTAACAGACAGTGAGTCAATCCCACCAGTTATTTTCTTGAGCCTGGGCATGAGGTTGGCACAGCTTTGTACTGCACGCTCTACAAGAGGGTCAAAAGCTTCAGGGAATTTCCTTCCTATTCATGTTTTTTTTCTGGTCGGCTGCTATCTTTTTTACGTTACTAGGGATATGTTAAATGGTTGAAATCCAGGAACTTTGGGCACCTAAATGATGAACTACAGACAGAACTCAGGTATCTCCTCCCTAACAAAGAGCTCGCTGAAAGATGGGGAAATCATCAGGACACTATATTCAGAGAATCGCTGCACAACTATGCTCATAATTTTTATTATTTGATGCAAGACGATTTACTTTTTTGACACATGGAAAAGCCTCCTGTGATCCTGTGATTTTAGACAGAAAAATCAATATAACTACAGTTACTGGAGGGTTAGAAGTGAAACGCTGCAAATTTCCACAGTCCTGGAGTGAACTTATACAGCAAGAAACAAAGTATTCATGAGATGAACCTCTTCAGGGTGCATGTTACAGATTCTGGGTTTAATTAATCACATGGCATAGATCTAGCTGAGTGAGGCACAAAGGGGGTTTATCAGCACTGCCAAAGAGTCACCATTTCTCTCTTCTGAGATACTCAGGACTGTCTCAGACTTGGAGAAAACAGGTGATAGAGAGATTTCAATAATGTGGTTCCCTGCCTTTTTTTGTGCAAATTGCTGCGAGTCAGCAAGAATTTTTATGAAACTAGAAGCTGAACATTTTATCACACCATTCATAACTCATCAACGGACTCTATTTCCCATAGCATACAGCAGAGGAGAGAAGGCTTCCAAAGGAGATTAATCCAAATCATGAAGGCAATGTCTGCTGAATACTGTCAAACATGATGGTCCAGATATAACAAACGACCTACGAATTCCCTAGATACTTGACTTCCAGTGAAGGCCTACTTTGCATATGCATATATTTACTTTTACACATATATACACATATATGTGTGTGTGTATCTATGAAGAATTGATTTTATTTTTTACACAGACTGTATACATCTCACATACCACTTTCACAGCCACCCCTGGTCATTGCTAAGGTAGATGTGCTAAATGGACCTTTTATCTTAATGCTGCACAGAGCTCAGATGTGACCTGGAAAACAGTCTGTTCAGCATCAACTTTGTGGGAGCCTTAGCAGATTACAGGTATCTATTCCACCTCCCCTTCTGTTGACATACATGCACTATCAGTTAGGAACCTATTTGGTCACTTACATGTTTATTCATTTCTATTCTCTGCAAGCCTACAGGCTCTCTATTGAGCTCTGCATTGGCGTGGTACAGAGCACACAGTTCTTGTGCCCATTGCTCACCAGTCAAAGTCTGCCTCTGTGCACACACATGGCTCCGAGGTCATGGCCCCAGCATATTTTCCTTGCATGCACTTCTTCTCTGACTTGCGCTTCCTGTAGATCCTTTTTGCTCCCATGATGCAAGCTTCTCCCTGGAAACAAAAGCAAAAATATCTTTCTCTGACACCCATCAGGCTATTTGTATCACCCAATTTTTCCAAGCCTGTGCAATGGGAGCTGTGACTCAAGGGAAGAGGATGGGAAGTCAAATGCCATGTCAGTACACTGGAGCTAATTAAAGCTACTAAAGCTTTAACTGAAACTAAACCAGCTTTTCCAATACACAGTAAGAAATGATCTGAGGTTACTTACGTATCTGATTCAGTTCTGAATTTGTTCCAAAGCTGATGAGCAATTAATCCAGGCCTATTTCTCATTTATAGATTAGGTTTCACAGCAACTGAAAACACCATCTGATCCCTCTGCATTCTGAGACACAGAGCAGATCTATTTCCTTGGTCTCATCTCTTTGGCAATGATTTTGTTCAGTAGAAACTAGTAATACCTGTACATGTAAATATTTTCCACGGACTACGAGTTCAGGTTTCACAGGGTTTGACTTGTTACATGGATGCTAAAACTTCCTTGGCTTTTCACTCTGTCTTCAGCACCCTGCTAAATATTTCTATCTAAGGAGCAAGGCTCAACCTTGTAATCTCAATGGAAAGCAAATCAAAAGGCAAGAGTCCACAGTAGCCTTCCTAAAAATAGTTCTGCAAGCTCCAAAGCCAACATCCTCAAAGATATACTGCAAAATACTTGGCATTTTTGCTTATGCAAGCACAAGAAAGTAAAGAACAAAATACAATCGGGTCTTGCTTGTTAACCTTTTATGCTGTTAAAATCACTGTAGGAAAGAGAAACTTTTCCTGGCTTTGATTTGCCCATGAAACAGAAGGGCCTGAATGGCAACTGGCATAAAATGCCATGCCTCCTTGAGTTTCAAGGAAGCTGTGCTGATTTTCAACATCTAAAGATCTAAGTCATAACTGGTATTTTTAGTGTGGAGCTGTGCCTTGTGCGAGCAGCTAGTCTGAGTCAAGCTATTTTCATTCCGTATTCATTATTAAATTCTTGCCCAGCAAGATGTATACAGAAAGACAACCTTTGATGATATAAACGGGTGTTTCGCTTTAGACTTCAGTGGAGCCTGTGGTTACATAACCACAGAATTTGGGACATACTTCTTTCTAACCTGATATAACACAGGCTGTTGTGTCAAACTCGGCAGAGGGAATGTGCCCCACGGCAGGCGCAGGCACTGTGTGGAGCACATTACATTGCTGGGCACTTAAGCAATGGTTCCGGGAGTGATGCAGCAGCTGCACCCAGGATGCAAAGGACAGGGCATGGGGGCCCAGTGAACTGGGGAATAAAGTGCCCAACTCCCACAACAGAAGTACCACTGCTGAGAGAGACAGAAAAAGGCTGAAACCAAGTGAGTAAGAGATGAGGCTAAGAGGGCAGGAATTTGGAGAAACAAGTGTGAAAGCAACTAGAAGGGTCTTAAAGACACTGGCTCTGAGGACACAGAAGGATGGAGAATGAGAAAGGAAGTAAAAACAAGGAAAATGCATGGGAGATGTAAGAGTGAAGGAGTTCAGGCCTCTTTCAGTGGCAGTGCTTCTGTTGTTGCATTCTTCAACTCTGGATAGGTCTGAGCTAATTGCCTGCATGCAGAATGAAACCCAAAAGGCAGCTGTTCATCTTTCGAGGCTCACAGAGTGCAATCTCAGGCCAGCATACCTATGTAACAAAACAGACCCATCCAGTAAGGGACAATCTGATACACTAAACTAACAGGAAAAGACATTGGATCATGCTTATCTTTATCGGTAGAATTATTAGCTACTTCAGGTCAGATCCCAGCCTCCTTGCTTCTCACCTGGCTATGGAGTTGCCAAGGCCTGTAGTCCTCTTCTGCACACCTCCGATCAAAAATGGACTTGTAGTCTACTTTCACCAGCTGCCACTCTGAGCGGTGGCTGAAATGTCCAAACACTCTACAGAATACAGCAGAAAGAGCATACAGTAAAAGGCAGCACCAGGAGGAGTCTAGTAGTTACAGAGGTACAGTCACCCACAAATTTCCAGCAGAGATTAATTGCTTTAGGAGTACCAGTCCTACTCATTTTCATGTGACTGACATAGTGAAAAGGAAACTTTGGCTGCTGAATATCTACAACCCTCTTAAAAACTGCATGTAGCTTTTATGCTGTGGATCAAGATCCTCCCACTTACATCAGTCCCCAAAATGACTACACAGAGAAGACTTGATGTGGGGCTGGAGACAATTACACCTATAGGAGTTCAATATCTCAATTATAAGCTTTGGGAATTCCTTCCACACAAATTAAAATCAAAACCTGAAGGAAAATTCTTCATACATCTCTATTAACTAAAGTTAGTTTCTAAGCCACATATTCTGTTTATTACAGTTCAGTCCAGTTTTACAGACAGAAACTGAATTTTCCTTCTGTTTTTGCAAATCTGATCTCAGGTAAAATGTCACAGTTTCTGGCAGGGTGAATCCAGATTTATGTACCATGCAGAACTCAGCATACCACATTGAAACTAATCATAATTTTTCATGAGTCAGCCTCTAGGCAACATTTTGTCATTCATTTTTACAAAACAACGTCTTCATTTTTCTATGTCTCAGTTAAAAAAAAGAAGTAGCAGCAAAAACACAGTTAGAAAAATACTCCACCATTTTCCTTTCAAATATTCATCTGTCAAGAGTAACTCTGCTTTAAATCACATTCAATTTGAGGAGCCAGGTTTCATGCTGATAAGCCAAGTGATAATGTTTTCACGGCTTGCAAGGAACCATGTTGTCATTCCCTCAATCATATCACAAATAAGCATTGATAATTAATAACAGAAGATTGCATACTCCTGGCTTCAAACAGTACTCAAACAGAAATGCTCTTTTGTTACCAACAACCCCCATAAGATATTCATGGTGCAGTTCCCATCAACAGTAGCATGATGGTATGCTCACTTACGTCATGATGAGAGTTTCCTCTCCAGGTTCCCCTAAAACTCCATCTACAAACAGTGGGAGGGATGTGAAACTGTACTTGCTCCAAGATCTTCCTTCATCAAAACTTAACCTAGTGGAGAAAGCAGAATTAAGTGTTTTCTTCCCTTACTTTCCTCCCACTTTGCTTGAGAAGACTCCCTAGTCCATTACAGCTGCTACGGAAAAATGGGAAGCATTTCTGTTCTTGGATACTGCATTTTTAGTCCTTTAAGTAACTGCTTCTTTTGGGGAAGCATCATAAATCAGAGCATTGTTCAAGCTTGTTTGGCATCATACCACTAACATGGCCAGCACTTAAGTGGTAGAAACTAATAACATTATGTTAGAGAAGGATGCTTTAAGGCCAAAATGTAGCCTAGGGCTAGGATTTTTTAAAAATAAGCAAGTGATTTTGAGCATCTTGTTTGTGGATCCCCAACATAAGACATTTTAAGGAGGTTAGGTTTCTGGAGTACACGAGCTTTGCCTCTTCTGACCAGCACTCTTCCATTCCCTGTGGTGGGCTTAAGTGAAAGCTTAGAACCACTCATCGCTTCTTAAGACTTGGGTCTCTGTGTTTCAGATATTGATATGAGACTGATTGTAGTGGAAGTAAACCACGCAAAACAGCAATAAACTATATTTTATCTACCACACAAACTCAAGAGTGCTAACTAGAAGGGACACTTTTGCCTTATTGGCTATATAACCTTGAATCTATTCAACAAAATTCTGGTTCATAAGTGCTGCTTGCCACATAGAAGACAAGTTCATCAATAATTTTGAAAATAAAGAGTACTTTGGTAACTTGACAAGAGACAAAGCCATAATCCAGATACATATTACATAAATAACCAAACTCAAGAAGCCAAGCTGTGGTAAACCAGGGAAGTTGTGGAATTACATTGATGATATCACAGATATGGCCAAGCTGAAACTATATAGACTGGAATTGCCAGGATTTCTTAGCTTTGTCTGAATTAATGTTTGCCAGAACCTTAACTGATATTTTCTAGATTGTAGCTACAGAAAATTCTGGATGCAGCCTAACTGCCTACTTCCTGGCATCTAAAAAGAGGCTCAGCAGACATTTAGCACAGATGGAGTCATTACCACAGATGTCTAATAGGCAGGGATGTGTGTTTCATGGCGACCAGTACTCCACCTTGATCCAGGTACAGAACACTGTGCTCTTCCTCAAAGATCTGGGAAAAAAAAACCCATGTATTTAAATCTTATTTTCCTTAGTATCAAGAAAATGTCATAGTTGTTTAAGTACGATCATGACAGAGGACAGGTACGTGCTAAGGAAGTTATGGAGGAGAGGAAGACATTCTGTACAGAGACAGTTCCTCTGTTTTGGTTTTTTATAGTTTTGGTTTGTTGGGGTTTTTTTTTAGTTTTTCAGGTCCTCAGAGAATGGATAATGCATTTGGCTTTTGCTTGACAGAAAGTTAGAAACATGAATCTTTGCAAGGATCAATGATTTCCCTCCTTTTGATGACAGATGTTTGTTTAAAGAAGAACTTCATGTGTTCGCACATATCTGGCCCTATCTCACGTAATTGATGTAGATGGAGAAATGAGGGCTGGTCAAACATTGTAATATAATGAGTTTCTTGGAATATCAAATATTTTAAAAGATTTTCTTTTCCTGTGTCTTTTTTTGTATTGGCTTTCTGCAAACATCTGCTCTTCTATTTATACAGCAACATTTGTCAGTCTTGGAAAGTCACTCTTTCTCTCCATGACTTGACATCCCATCCAGAAAATAGGAAGAGTAGAACTTTCTGTTCTGAGGATAAAAACATTTAAGGTGGGATTCCACTAAATATTAGGAACTTGATTTAACTTCATCATCCAGTCTCCTTCCACAATTAACAGAGAGATAGGTAGCTTTGGAACAAGATGAACTGAATTCTATCTTCTTCTACATTAGCTTAAGAGAAAGGCAAAATAATCCATTTAATACAGACACTGAACTTTGGACAACTCAACTTAGGTGAAATGAGTCCCACACAGAGTGGGGCAAATTACACCAGTGCAACTGCTGATTGTCAGGAAAGTATGATGATGAACGAAGAGAAAAAACAGTTTCATTGGTACAAGGGATGTACAACAGCAAAAGGAAACACTGTCTCTCCCCTTTGTATTCATATTTCAATCTGTTCTCTTTGCTATAGGGTTAAACTTAAGTCAAACTCTCAGTAGAATTATAAAAACAATCTTCTATTATATGAAGCCTAACAACATATTCAGTCTTTTACTTTGAGCATCTCTCTATCTCTCAGAAGAGAAGTTTACCCTTTTGTAAAGATTTGCAAAAAGCTACTCTGAGCCAAAAGAAACAAAAATTAAGTAACAGTTTGATTTTACTTTTATGACAATTTCCTATGATTACTATTTAAACTGTGATTCTGTGTCATTTACCTGTCTCCAAGTGTTCCCAGCATCAGAAGAAACAAACATGCTGATGTCATTGTCTGATAGTTCAGTGCCTATATTGCCTGAAACATGAGCATTGATTAGTGATGAACACTCTAAGAAACTGTAGAATTGGCAAATCAGAGGAGTAAATGTATTTACCTTTTGCAACTATAGACCTTCTAGATTTGAGAAGAGAAAGGAAGGGAAGGGAAGGGAAGGGAAGGGAAGGGAAGGGAAGGGAAGGGAAGGGAAGGGAAAGGAAGGGAAGGACTTTCACTTTGAAAAAAATATGTATAAAAGATCTAATTCATACAGCTCTCCACACCTCCCCACGCAAAGGAAATGCCCTGATTTGAATCTTATGTTGATGGGAGTAGAGGACTAGAAGTCATCTCCTCGGACTTGAAGGCCAGTTTCCATAAAAAACGTATGAGAAGCTGAAAGTCCATATGACTTCCATTTGATGCCTGTCTTCCTTCCCAATACTGGTGGTGTGACACCCCACAAGCCACTCAACACCCTCCACACATCACAAACTCAAGATTTTGTGCACATCATACAGAGGCAAACTTCAGATGTTTCATACCTGAAGCTACAATAATACTGGGGGCTGTGTCTCGGCTGGCGATGTTTCCTGAGGTATAGGGATTCTCTGACACCTTCAGGTGAAGATGAAGGGAGCAATAGGGCTATGGAGAAAAAGGAAATAAAAGTAAAAAGTAGACATAACACGAAATGCATGCTCTGATTTCTACAGGCTTAGAAATATAGTGTCTTTCTGTTTTACTTCCTAATTGTTGCATTCAGCCGCCCTTAGAAAGACACGGCCACTGTCCTGGTTCTGTTGGGAAACTTTGCTATCATTTTCTGACACAACCGGTTCCCACTGGGAAACTGATTCACTAGGCTGAAACCCTCTCACAAGGACAAGGTCTCTGAGGCTACCCACAAAGGAGGCAACCAGGCTTGCAAGGGCAGGTACTGGTAAGGACTACCTAGCTCCCCTGGCTCCTAGCTCTCTTGAGAAGCAAGCAAGGCTGCAGATACAACGAAGTGACTCTCAGAGCAGCAGTGCCCAAGCTACCTCTGCAACAAGAAGCAATATAAACCTATCAGTGCGGCGTTGAGTCACCACTAATTAGGCATGAGAAACAACATAATTCAGACAGCATCACACCATTTCTCAACTCTGAGTATTTTTGTCATGACTCTGTCTGCACTGCACTGAGAAGAAATAACAGGACTGGAAAGTTTTAGTTTATGTTTAAAACAAGGCATCATCATCCCATCTGGATGTGACCTTTGAGATTTCAATACAAATATATCCATGGAAGCCTTACCTATTTGTTATTGATTTTGTAGATCGGGTATGCAGATAAGACAAGAATGGTACAGAACAAATCAGCTGAGCAAGAAGGTAAGAAAGACAGGCAGATTTCCAAAGTTGCCATTACAATTACATCCAAATCTGTAGCAGTGTGACAATCTCTGGAAATTTCTGATAACTTTTGCTTTCTCTTGAGTTTTGTTTTCAGTATTTTTTCTTCAAAACCTAATGAAGAGCCCTTCATGAAACATGCTAAGAGAAGGGAGGTGGAAAAATACTGGCAAAAAAGCCTGAAGCAAACTGACCCAATTGAAGGGGACATCACACAGGAACTAGAGATATAGCAAAGCCCATGCTTCAGCTTGTACAGCTCTGTAAGATGGGTAGGAGAGGCTATGTAGAAGGACCTTCAGGCTCTAAGCAGGCAGGTCTTTCTGTCTAATATCAGCTGCCTAAAGGCTAGGTCTGCATCCCCAAAAGTTTTGTAGGCTTCCTCTGCAGCAGACCCAGCTCCATATGTCACTGGAGGAAGACCACTTATCCATCCCATCTCAAAGTAGGTGTCTCTCTCTGAAATGAAAATCCTCCTGTGGAGAATGGCAGGGATTATTGGCAAAGGCAAATGAGGGTGGTGAGGAGGGATGGGAGCTCTCACTTATACGAAACAGGAAAAGGGGACACGGGTTGTGCAGAAGGGAACACAACCTGCCAAGTTAAATGTACTGAGCAGCCTAACTCTAACTGACAGCCTTGCGAGGGCAGCCGCTGGAGCAGCCCGGGGGTGCAGGGAGGGAGTGGAAACCAAATTGAGCTGACATGCATGCAGGAAGTGGAAAAGCATTGCAAGAACAGGAATTCTTTCCTTTACATTTTTATACATTGTGAAAAGACAAAATACAGAACGTATTTCTAAAACTAACATACTCCAAGCCCACTTCAGCATTTTGAAGACAGTAACTAATCACCGCAACTCTGCCAATTCCATTCTCACAGAGATTAGACCTCGTTAAGACTCCAGTCTTTGTGCTACCAGAGGTTTTCTTTCAAATTTGTCTCACTGTACAGATATAGTACACAGAAATGAAATACATATCTCATATATTAAAAGCCAGGTCACCTATCTAAGCAGAGAGATGGCACTTTTAATGGCATAGATTCTTACTGGTTGGAGCACAGAAATGCTTACAGTCTCTAGTGACAATTGGGTATGGTGTAAAATCCGACCTCACCACTCTAGACAAACACCTAAAGTTAGTGCCCGTGGACATCTCACACCCTTACTATGGCAGCATTCTCTCCTCCATCCCTGATGTACACCTTCTCCATCTGTATCCTTATATAGTTCATCAACAGATATTTTTCCAGACTGGTTTGTGTTCCATCATACTGCTGCTCCCTTTGCGTTCCTCCTTTAGCTCCCACAGCTCAACTCATATACAGACATCTCAGCTTTGTTTTTTAGAACTTCCATGAATTGTCTCTACCCTCCTTGTTGTTACCAACAGGCTACTGAAATCATTATTATTAGAATCACCAATTTTGAGTACCTGTATTGCCTAGTACCCAGCTGTGCTAGCTGCTGCACAGACACCAAGGAAAAGATAACCACTGCCATGGAGCATTTACAAACTAGGTAGAAGATAAAGCATGAGCGAAATAGCCCATTGCTCTGCTCACTGCCATAGTTCTTACAATCGTGCTGGAGTTCATTACTTGCTTCCCAGTATTTTCAAGCCAGCACTTTTATGGTCCCCTCTCAGAAGGCTCATCAGTCCTTAGTAAAATTTCTCATAAATACCCACAAACCCACTTCCTGGCTGTTCTGCAAAGCCCACCTGAACCGTCTCCAATGGCATGACACACAGAAAACAGCTGTTAGTGACTGTCCCTGATCAGGAGTGGGGCAAAGGACTATAACACAAGCATGATGCTAGACACCATTCACAAACCTGAGGTAGTCACAGTATTTGCTGCCCTGCAATAGCAAGGAGCAATGAAGAGAGATAAATGTGTTCAGGAGAGATATTCAAAACACCTCACTTAGATGCTTAAATTATTCTGTAGCAGATGGCATGAATGCCCCCCTTACAAGAAAAGGGTCTTTGTCCTGAAATCCTTATAATCCACATAGACAAGACAAACAAAATGTGGGAGGGAATAAACAGATGTCTGGGGAAGTGAGGCACAGTGAAAATAAATGACTTGCCCAAGGAAATTGGAGATAGGCCTCAAAAATGAATCAAGATTCTCCTGAGATTCAGTCCCATGTTTTAACCACAAGACCATCCTTGAAAACTAATTGATTAACCCTCCTAGACAGATGTCCATAACTTGCAAGACAGAATTGCTCATTAACCACTTCACAGCACAGGATAAGTATCAAACAGAACCAGCATCTTTGGGATATACCTTGGCAGCTATTTTATGAAGATTAAGTGTATTCAGCTTAGAAAATAAGTCGTATAAACAAGAAAAATAAAACCTTGGGATTAGGTGGAATTTCATTGCTTTCCTCCATCCGCATTACTCAGAGCCACCTCACAAAAAGTGCAAAAAAATTCTTTGAGTTGCTTTGAAAAAAACACCTCGAGCGTCTTGTCAGCAGAGGGATGGTTCCGTCTGGCTTGCCTTGTGTTTCAACCAGATTCCCTCTTAACCACCTCAGCTGCCAACTTAGCTGCTATGTACTTATTTATGCACTAACTCTCCCTTATTTTAGGTTTAAAGACCAGATGCACAGAGGACACAGCATTGCACTCACAGGCTGGGGACCATCCTGTCAGTCTGGGAAAGGACAGATCCCATTCTGCCAACAAGCTGGAACATATGTCACCGCTGTGTCCCGAGCTATTGCTAGAGATGATTATGCTGAAAACCAGCAGTGTGAAAGCACTAGTATCTGCTGTGGAGTAAGGATGGGAGCTAAGCTAGATGTACAACGGACTATTAAGAATTCACTTAGCTAGGCCATAAAGAAAAGCAGGATCATGCCAGGAACAGTAATATATAGAAGGAAAAGGAGCAATTGACATAAGGAGGTAAAACTTCTGGTGATGCAGGTGTCGACATATTGTGGCTAAAGAGCTGAATGGGATTTGTGACTGTTTAAAATACTACAGCTATGTCACATTGACAAGAAACAGAATTGCCTCATAGCAGGGGACAGTTCCTTTTCTCCATGTTTTCCTTCAGCAGAACACCCTTATGGATCCCTGACTTATTTCCAGACATGTACATCTCCAGTGCTTTTGCTTCAAAAATTTCCCTACCACTCCCAACTTTTGTGGTCTCTTCTCTATCTTTTCTTGAATTCTTGCATTCCATATTCTGCCTTCATCTTCCCCCACCTTTAAGTGTGAAGATCAAATCAGATTGCAGTATTGTCATTGTTATTTTACTTTGTGGTTTTGGTGCTTTTTCTGTACAGCTATCCTCCCTTTTTCCTCTTGCAGGCAGACTGCCTTTTCCTGTAACAAACCAAACAAGTCAGTTTAGTTCACTTTTCATCTATTTGCTGTCTTGCAAATCTGCAAGTTGACCACCTGAGACCCTGTATGCTCAGCTGATGATTGCTGCTCTGCTACTATTCCACTAGCCTGTGACAACCTAAGCATGAAGGAGTGCTCAGATAAGCTCAGGCAATGAAAAAGGCCTCTTGTCTGTTTTACCTGATGTTAAGGGAAGAGGAAAAATAAACATGGCTAAACATTCATCTGGCCTTATCACAGGGAACAGCTGACTAACTTCCTTTCCATTCTCTTTCTGGAAGGGCAAAGACTGAGCTACACGGTTTAAGTTCATTGAGGATTTGTCCCTTACCACCCTGAAATCATGGAGTGATTTCTACAGGTGCCTGGGCTTCTCTGGGCCACTCCTCACTGTGACCCTACAAGCACCCACACTTCTGCCGCTGCTCATGATCCCTTGCCTAGTTTGTTCAAGTTTCCCACTCTCAAGGGAATTCCAGCTTGTCCAGGCATATCTGGTCTAATTTTAAATGAAATTAATTGTACTCTCAGGTGCCCATGAGTATAGTAACAGCTACAGTATGGATGGGAAGGCTAAAGGGAGCAATAATCCCCCCCTCTTCATACGAACTATCCAGTCCTCGTTTATATGCAGTCATATGACCACTTCCACTAGATTGTGGATAGCTACAGTGGCAGCATACCCTTCTATATAAAATACACAGTTCCTGCAAATGAGTGTTCCATAAGGATCCCAAAAAGCAGTACCTCTCACTCATTTATAACCACAATGGCAAGTCAGATCTCTTGTGATCAGTGCACAACAGTACCAAGAAAGACCTATTTATGGAAAAAGAATAAATTTACTTTGATTGTTTTACTTGCCAGCACCATT